GCCCGCCTCAGCCTCCCAAAGTGCTGGGATTACAGGCATGAGCACCACGCCCTCGCATAGAGTTTTTAAAAGTCATTTACTTTTTTCGTCTAATAGTTTAAAGCTTCTGTTTTTGAGGAGCTGGAAAAAAAAAAAGGGCCTGAGGTAGGATAAGGTAAAAATTTGGTTGCCTCTTAATTTGTTTTTACAAATATACTTTCCTATTAGTCCCATTTTACTGAGCAGAATACTGAAGCCAGAAAGTTGAGTAACTGGAAGTCACATGGCTGAGTCCTAAGGGCCCCTTGTCCTTAGAACATTAAACCTCGAGAGAGAAGTGAGTGTGAGCTAAATGTTGAAGTGGTTAGATTGTGATGAGGAAAGCGTCTTCTGGTAAGGAGACAGAACATCCTCAGGTAGACTTCTTAACTTAAAAAACAAACCTTTCAGAAATCCTTGAGACATAACAGACTTCTCACTTCAGATTTCTACTAGAATTTGAGTTACTTCAAGAGTATACTGGTATGGGACAATGAAAAGTGTTTACCAATTTTGCCTAATACATTGAAAAGGGCAACAAAGAATGCAAATATGGAGTTCACCCACGCAAATGAAATATAGATAGTTGTAGGCATTTCTAAGAAGTAGACAAATGGCAATTACATTGTTTGAGTTACCCTTCTGAACATACATCCTTTGAATACAATTGGCCTTATAAGTAGACATTCATAATTTCAGACAGCAGCAGAGAGACCCTTCATAGAAGCTTTATTCTTATGGATAGTAAAAAGGTTTGTGTTTTCTTCTCCCCTGCCCCCCAACCTTTTTTTTGAGACAGCGTCTCACTCCATTGCTCAGGCTGGAGTGCAGTGATGTGATCACGGCTCACTGCAGCCTTGATCTCTTGGGCTTAAGTGATCCTTCTGCCCCAGCCTCCTGAGTAGCTAGGACCACAGGTGTACGTCACCATGCCCAGCCAACTTTTTGATTTTTTGTAGAGACAGGATTTCACTCTGTTGCCCAGGCTGGTCTCAAACTCCTGGGCTCAAACACTTCTTCCCCCTGAGCCTTCCAAAGTGTCAGGACTATAGGCATGAGCCACCACACCCCTGCAAGTTTTAATGTTTTACTGTTAAAATGTAAACTGCCCCTGTGAGGTGATGAGCTTTATTATTTCAGTAGGGCCAGCAGGGTGATGGGCCCGAGGATAGGCCAGTAAGACATGATCGAAGTGAGAGAACAGACTAAAGTCCTAGCCTGCCTTTTAGGACATTACTGCCCTTACTTTAGGAAAAAAAAAATGTGTTTTTCCTCCCATTTAATTGGGTGTTTGAAGAAATAGCACTGAACAAAGGGTTCATCTAAGGATGAAGATAAATAGCATACCTAACCAATTAAACATTGTAAAAATTATCCCAATGTTATCGTTGCTTTCGTTGATTAAGAAGAAAGAAAACTAGAAGTTGGGGTGGTTTGACCCAAATGGATCAAAGAAAGATGTGTCATTATTTAGAAATGCTATAGGAGCTGCACTAAGATAAGAGGATATTTTCTAGTGTTTGGACAAAAACAAGGTATAAATAATAAATTGTTCAAAGCAAGGAACGGAAAACTTGACCAAGGTGGTTGCCTTAGGTTCTTATGGTTTGGCCAGAGAACTATCAGCGCTGTGTGTTTTGATCTGCATAACTATGGCATTTAGCTGTAAATATAGAATACTTGAATTGCAGAGTTTGCAAACTAGAAGGGACTGCAGAAATCATCTAGTCCAGTGGTTTTCAAAAATTGATTTTAGCCGCAGACTTTTTCCTTTAAAAATGAAACCTTAGGTGGAACACTGATTATTGAAACATAATAAGAATTTGGTTCCTCTGTCACTTTAAATCTTGAAAATCTTGATTGTTTGGAGAAAAAGTTCTTCATTGCCTACAGAATCCCTTAAGCACCTCTGGTGGCCCAGTTTGAAAACCACTGATCTAGTCCAACCCTTTCATTTTACAGATAAATAAACTGAGGTCCAGAGAGGTTAAGTGACTTGACCAAGATCACACAGCTAGTCATGGAAGAGCCAGGACTAGATCTCAGGTCTCTTGATTACCAGTCCAGTGCTCTTTCCACCACACCACACTGCCGGTAAGATAGGTGCTGTGTTAGTATTATGTTCAGAGCCACCAATAGTCTTCAGTATTTTCTAGCTGATTTATGCTGATGATATGCATTGAATATTGAAGTGTATTATTCAGAAATTTGTAGGATATGCAAATACAGATTAGAATCACATAGGTATTCTCTTAGAAGATAAATCGGTAGCTAGAATGTCTCACTTTATTTTAAAAAATTATTTTAAAGCAATGCAATTAGGTAATGTCTGAGCTATGTGGATATTTTAGTCTGATATTAATGATCAATATGTAAGGAGTCAGTATGTTTCAGTGTAGACACATACTTTCATGGGAGCGGCATTAGGACTCCTGGCTGCCACTCCCTTGGGGGCCATGCTGTGCCATCATTTCAAATATTGGCCAGTTTTTTGTCTCTAGAATGGTACATCCCTCTTAGTATGTAGTGGGCATGTTCTTTAACGTTAAGTTCTACAGATTTGCCCTCAGTTCTTTTTTTGGTGGGGGGGGAAGAGTTTTGCTGTTAGCGCTCAGGCTGTTGTACAATGGCACGATCTCGGCTCATTGCAACCTTTGCCTCAGGTTTAAGCGATTCTCCTACCTCAGCCTTTTGAGTAGCTGGGACTGCAGGCATGCATCACTATACCCAGCTGTTTTTTTTTTTGTTTTTTTTTTTTTTCTTTTTCTTTTCAGTAGAGGCAAGGTTTCACCATGTTGGACAAGCTAATCTCAAATTCTTGACCTCAGGTGATCCACCCGCCTCAGCCTTCCAAAGCAGGCTTGTGAGCCACCACACCCTGCCTCATGTAGAGTTTTTAAAGGACATTTATTTTCTTTCTCTAATAGTTTACAGCTTCTGTTATTGAGGAGCTGGAGGGAAAAAAAGTCTGAGATAGGGTAAAGTATAAATTAGGTTGCCTCTTAAATTGTTTTTACAAGTGTTGTTTCCTATTAGTCCCATTTTACGGAGCAGAATACTGAAGCCAGAAAGTTGAGTAACTAGAGGTCATATGGCTGATTCCTAAGGGTCCCTGCCCTCTCCAGAACAGTACATCTTTCTTAGTATGCAGTGGGCATGTTCTTTAACATTAAACTCTGAAGATTTACCCTCAGTGCTTTCTATGTGTATACCTTCTGTCTCTTAGTCCTTTATTCTTCTCAACCTGGTATGTATGAATTGTCACTGGGCTCCACCCTAAATGGGCATAAAGGACAGTTCATTGTAGAATCCTGTTGTCACTGATAATCTCTGTTGTTGATTCAGTTTCCACCTGGATTCCTCTGGTATTATCAAAGACTGTCACTAGATGCTGGGAAAGCAGAAAAAGTGTCTCCATGCGGTTGTTTTACTACCAAAAATAAAAAAGGCATGTAGAAGTCTGCAGCCACTGTGAACTGATAGAATTCTTATGAGGAAATGTCCCTGGGAAAATAGATGTTACCACAAGTCTAAAGATAGAGTGCTGGTCTTGTAAGTAAAAAGTAAGTTTGGGAGCTGTGATTACAGTCAAAGTTGAATATGGTTTGTTTCTATCTTATTGAGTATATTAGGGGCTAGTCTCTAAGCCATAGAAATATATACAACCAGAAATTATTTCTTTCGTCCTACTTTTGTTTGAGAATCAAGGAATTGTGACTAGTTATCAGGTCTTATTTATAGAATGCATTCCTTCTGAAAGCCAGGTTCAGAGTTCTTCACATGATGATGTGTCCTCAGGGTGTTCCTGTCCTGCTGTATGACCTGATAACCCCAGACAGGATACACCAGCTCTCTGGGTGTGTATTTCCTCAACTTTAAGGAGGTTGACCTAGATCTTCCTTCTAGTCCAGGCTAGCTCTATACAACTGCTGATTATTTCAAGGGTATACTGTATGGGACAATGAAAAGTATTTGCTAACCCTTGGTGACTCAAGATAATGTCAGGGTCCCAGACATTGCATTGCATACTGCGTTTGCTCAGTTTGAGCCTTACTTTCCTATAGAACTTTCTGTGATAATGGAAATGTTACATATCTGTGCAGTCCAGTACAGGTGTTGATCGACTTACCACCTATGCAACTTAGACCATTCGACTTTACGACCACAATCGCTAGCCACGACTGCTCTGCATCTGGCAGCGCAAACGTTGCCCAGCTGGGCGTACGACAGTGCGGACCAGCTTCCGGCAGCACTACCATCTCCGCGTGCACCATTTCAACTGTACATATAGCCTACTCAACTTAAACGACCAAATCGTGTTATGACCGGTCCGCGGTCCTGACCGTGGTCGTAAGTCGAGCATTAGCTGTATTGAAGCCACTGGCCACACGTAGCTGTTGAGCACATGAAATGTGGCTATTGATACTGAAGAACTGAATTTTAAGCTTTATTTAATTTTAAGTAACTTACATTTTAGGTTAAACAACCACATATAGCTATTGTATTGGACAGCAGAGTTCTTAGATCTTCTTTGACACAAAAGTCAGATATCAAGTGGAATAGGTGTACCTTAAGTGTTCATGGAGAGAGTGGTGATGTTTTACTTTGGTGAATCTTCATCAAACACAGTTGGTCTTAGGGAAACTCGTTAGAAATCAAGCACTGTTTTTTGAGTGAAAATGTTATCTGCAGGTGACTTGATTTTCCTCTTGTTTGTGACTTAACCGCATGAACTTCAACTGAAAAGATATTTGCTAATTTGATGAGAAATGAAGCATTTTCTCCTGTCTGCAGGCTTGTGATCCATGAGGTCTTGGTATGGGTCTCAGTGAATTCCCATATGTTTTCTGGGAAGCTGAGTTTATAAGGTTTCTGGCCAATAAAAAATATTCTGTTTTTTATTCCTAGCTCAAATATGAGTGACTGAAATGTGCTGGTTTCTGAAGAGATGATGAAATAAACTCTTGTTTTTTCCTTCTTAGAACCAAAGAAAATGGCTTTGACAGAGAGCCTTTGCACTCAGAACATCCAAGCAAGCGACCATGCACTATTAGCCCAGGCCAGCGGTACAGTCCAAATAACGGCTTATCCTACCAGCCCAATGGCCTGCCTCACCCCACCCCACCTCCACCTCAGCATTACCGTTTGGATGATATGGCCATTGCCCACCACTACAGGGACTCCTATCGACACCCCAGCCACAGGGACCTCAGGGACAGAAACAGACCTATGGGTAAGACTGAAGGATCTGTTCACTTCTTATGGGGTTGGATGCTTGAAGACTTGCACCGTTACTTCTCAACTGAATTTGAAGCTTGAAATCTGTGATAGGGATAAAAATTCTCTTCTCTTGCTTTATATCGTCTCCTTTATGAAAAAAGCTTGATTGGTATTAATAGGCTTTTCAACAGCTGTGTGCTCTCTCTCCAAATCACTTGTATTCTTAAGACAGTGCATTAAATTTCTTTGGAGGAGGGCATCTAGATTAATACAAAACCCTCAATTGTTGGTAACAAATGCAAAATAATTTTTTTAGCTTGAATTCTCTTTTAACATGAGACTTCATATGCAGTCTGCCTGCCACGGTATTTTTTAAAAGTCAGTTTATTTTCTTGCGTTGTATCTTTTGTTTCAGATAGTCTCAATGGTTATTTTGACTTTGTCCACCCTCCATGATATTCCATATTTCCAAAGTATGATATGGCATGTCATCTGTGGCTTAACAGATGTTTCCCAAGGAATGATTTGGTACTTTTTTTTTTTTTTTTTTTACTTAAAAATGCCAGTGATTAAAGTTAATGTTGACAATTTGGGGTCAAGGATCAGAATACTGAAGAAGTGAATTTGGGCAAATATGTGCTCTATTTGCCTATGTCATTCCTTCTTTGCATAAAACTATTAGAAGTAAAGTATTTTGTCTGGGTGCAGTGGCTCACACCTGTAATTCCAGCACTTTGGGAGGCCTATGCAGGTAGATGAGTTTGAGCTCAGGAGTTTGAGACCGGCCTGGGCACTGTGGCAAAATCCAGTCTCTACTAAAAATACAAAAATTAGCTGGGCATGGTGATGCATGCCTCTAGCCCCAGTTACCTAGTGGGCTGAGGCAGGAGGATCTCTGGAGCCCGGGGAGCAAAGGTTACAGTGAGCCGAGATCCTGCCACTACATCCCACACACTGCACGGAAGCCTGGGCAGCAGAGCAATACCCTGTCTCAAAAAAAGAAAAAAAAAAAAAAAGAAAGAAAAAGAAAAAAGAAAAGTAGTAAAGCATTTTGAAGACATTGCCTTCTATAGAACAAATGTCTACCGTGAAAAATGAGAGAGAAGATGAGCAAGGTAAGTTGTTTTTTAAACACAGGATCAGTGGTTCAGTGGTAGAGATGATGGTGTGTCAGAGCGTTATTAGTTAAGTATACTGTTACTTGGGTGCCTTCAGTTCTTAATTTGTGATGGGTCTGAGAGCAATAGTCTCCTCTTCTTTTTCGATCTCCTGTGTCCACATCACCCACCAACAGGACTTTCTCTATCTTGTAACTAGTTGCTGGCAAACTTTCCTGACGTGGGTGACTTAGTGGCCAGGACCCTGGAAAGAGCAGGTGGGGGAAGTCCTAGTCGAAAACCAGAAAACGAAGCTGAAAATACAGAATTCTGGGGCATGCAGCCAGCCAGTTATTCACTACTTGATTACAGTGATGGTGTTTTTTGTTTTTGTTTTGTTTTGATTTGTTTTTAGCCACAGACAGAAGGAACCTGATATATAGAAGTTTACATTAGAGTTCCAGCTACGTTGCTAGCAAACAGGGGCTGCTATGTGTAGGGCCTTTTTTGCCTTTCTGCACCCAACTTCCCAAATGTTTAGAAAACAGAAAGAGAGAGTCAGGGTGAAGGGAGGGGCAATTGAGGCTTTGGTTGTGAGACAGTAAATTAGTAGTTCTGGTTCTCCACAACAGTAATTTCTACGTTTATATAGTGTGTCAGACAAATGGCTAAACATATAATTTGTGCTTTCTTAATAGCCAATCTGTCTAACGTTCTCACAGGTATCATTTCTGAAGAGCTTTCAAAGGTGGTTATGTTATTTCTTGATCTGGATTGATATTTTGGCCCCCAAATCAAATGTGATAACAGCCCTCTTCTACACAAAGCCTTTCCACTTATTTATGACTTAAGGACTGAAAATCATGATTGCAAGTTTTTAAATAGCAGTGGAGTCATCAGGTCACTGTGAAACCAGTTCAAGGGATCCAGTTTTATAGGTGTGCTAGCAAATGGCCTGTTTCTTAGGCAGCAGGTGATATTTTGTGAAATATTAGTTCCAGTGCACTATACAGTAATCAGCAAGGAAGTAATTATACTTATGTGCAATGATTATGTTTTCATCAAGTAATGTAAAATATCCCTTTATGAATTATATTGGTATCCATTGGTTTTATGTTATTTTCTTCAGACTGTGTTCCTTACCTTTTAATTATATTATCTTATAAAACTAATAGTGCTAATCTCTATAAATATGTGCAGCTACTAAACCATCCCTAAAGTCTGGCAGAGTTTAGTGTGTGTTAATATAAAATAAAATCTTGATGTATGAGCAACAAATTATGGTGTTACATCAGGCTGCCATTTTGAGAATATAAAAATTGTCATAAACATATACTTAGTCTGCTACGATTTATAAGTTCCCATTATGTGTAGGGACATATACTCACTAGGATCCTTTAGTAAAGTAACTTGTTAGCAGCATTAGTTTACAAGTAAGCTTAGAGTTTTATTCTAGTTAGCTAAAATATTCTAAAACATAATAACCAGTTAAGACTCAACATTAGTGTCAAATTTCCCACAAATGCAAATGTGATTATGAGCTATTTAATGATTATGAGCTGTTTCCCCCAGTACATCCCCCTGGTATTATGACTATAAATAAAAATTGGGTGCTGCTGAATATTTAAGTATCTTAAATAGATAAATTAATACACCAAAAATCTTGATTTATATCTTATTTTTAAAGATTTGATTATATCCAACAAATGACTTTCAGGGTTCAAAAGCAGCAAATGAATATCATATTTTACATGTTTCTAATGCACTTAGTATTTTTTTAAAAATAAATTGAAGCTTAGTACTGTTTTATAAATGCTGAAATCCTACTAGCCACAGATATCTTGTTGCTCATTAATATTTCTCCAGGTGTTATGGCTTGTGTTACAATTGATTTTTGTCTGCTGAATTTTTCAAGCTTTTGAGATCTCTGGAATTCTTTTCCTTAAAGTCTAATATTCAGATGCCTCTAACATGAAAGTCACTGTCACATTTATATCATTATCACTTTCTGGTTGTTCTCTGTGGTGACTAATTTTAACAGTAATGGTTTTTCCCTAAAACACAGGCAACAAATAAGTTAACAAAAATAACATATTTGCAAACATTTCAACTCGAAATAATCACAACAGAGCAACAACTAAATATTATTTTTTCAACATATTTGCACTTTTACTTTTTTACCAATAGATGGCATTGACAATTTTAACTTTTAAAATGTATCTCAGAATATGTTCTTATTGGACAGGAATAGTACAAGGTGTCTTACATTTAGCTTTTTATTTAGTCTGAGAAAGGGCTGTCATAAATTTATTCACTTTCATCAGTTGTAAATGAAATTGCATTACATGGTTGGCTGAACACAGTCATGTGACTCATCTTTATTTGTGTAAATCAGCTAAAAGAAGGGATTTCTAACCACTTAAATCTCACAAAAAGTGAAATTCAGTGTCTTGTAACTCCTATTGTCATTTAATTCTTACATAAATTTCACAGAGAGGTAGCCCAGTTATCTAGAAGCCCAAACCATGACAAACTTTGTTGTTCAGAGTAACATTTTGAGAATTGGTAACCAAAAATAATAGTTTTGATCATTTAGAATGCAAAATAATGCCACAGCCCCATGGCTTTCCTTTACAGTAGAATATAAAGTGATTATGTAAAAGGAACAACAGTTTCCAGGTTTCTCTGATCAGAGCCGTTCATCCTATTTTTTTTTTTTGAGACGGTCTTGCTCTGTCACCCAGGCTGGAGTGCAGTGGCATGATCTTGGCTCACTGCAGCCTCCACCTCCTGGGTTCAAGCAATTCTCCTGCCTCAGCCTCCTGAGTAGCTAGTACTATAGGCATGCGTCATCACACCTGGCTAATTTTTTGTAATTAATTTAGTGGAGATGGGTTTCACCACATTGGCTGGGATGGTCTCTATCTCCTGACCTTGTGATTCGCCCGCCTCGGCCTCCCAAAGTGCTGGGTACAGGCGTGAGATACCACACCTGACCCATCCTATCTTTTTAGTGAGACACGTTTACTTCCTATTTTAATGAGCATCCTAGCTAACTGCTTACATTAATTAATATTTTGGTGTTCACTTGGTAAATACTTACCAAGTGAGTATAAAAAGTAATATTATTACTTTTTCATGCTGGTATCTTAACTATGATGCTAAAGAGCATTACAACTTATGGACTTCAAATTAGGTATTTTTCACTTTATTCACTTGGATTTATAATATTTGTCAAATTATATCTGATACGTTTATTGTTTTCATGAAGAATTTCCAATTTACTTTTATTTATTTTTTATTTTTTGGTAAACCGAGTGAGTATATGTAGCTCCATATTATACAAGCCTTCTCTTCATGGTTTAATTTTATCATGGTTGTATATGTGTTAGGATTGTATTCATTCATACAATGTTATTGAAATGTGGAAAAATTTAGCATGCCTGTTTTGGGAAAGCATATCCCTTCCCATGTAAAATGACTTATGCTGTCTTTAGTTTTAATGCAGGACAGCAATGCTTTAAAACCACTTAATATCTACTTGTGGTTTCTTGTATTTATTAAGAGTTAGAATATATATATATATATATATATATATATATATATATATAATTATTTATTTTTTATTTTACCAGATTGGTACAAAAGTAGAGTTAGAATATATTTTTACTTAGGGAGTGTTCCGTGGATAACTAGCTGTAGTCTTGGTGTCACTTAACTGTCTCCTTATATGTAAAACAAATGCCTCTGACTAGATGACCTCTAAAATTCCTTCTAGTTCTAATATTTTATTCTATGAGGAACCCATTAGGTAATTCTGAATCTAAGTATGACTCATGTCTCCATTCAAAATCAAATGTATTTTATGTCATTGAGTTTGCCCACATAGTCCTTGCGATGAGTCTGTGTGTGTATGGGTTGTGTATTGAATGCTTTAGGGTGATTCAGCCTTCTCTGTTTTTGTAGGGTTGCATGGCACACGTCAAGAAGAAATGATTGATCACAGACTAACAGACAGAGAATGGGCAGAAGAGTGGAAACATCTTGACCATGTAAGACATCAGTAATCATTTGGGATTAAAAAATGTTTGGAAAACAACTGGAGTGGGGTTATGTGATAAAATAAAAGCTTGGTGATGCTTTGAAGGTACTGTGTTTCCTGTTATCCTTGAAAAAAAATAATGAGCGAGAATGTTCGAAGTAGAATATAGGATTTGATTTCTAAATCGACGTGAAAGCCACTTAAGAGAAATGTTTAGATCTTAGAAAGGAGTTATCAAAGTCAGATCAGTGGGTTACTGTTTTATTGTGAAACGGTCCTTTAGTTTATAAAGTAATGGGATTAGTATTTGGAGGGATGGATTTACTGGCTTTAATGCCTTCAGGTAAAATTTTTCCTTCTGACTCAGTGTTCATATATCCATCTTCTCATGCCCATTGAATTTTCTCATCCATTGTCTCTGAATTTCAAATCTAGCCATAGAAAATATTAAGGGATAAAATTGCTTCCTTCATTGTCCCGAAATGGTTTGTTTCACTAATCAGCAAAATATTTAATTTTGATGATTTATATGCTCTTCCGAATTCTCCCCTTTGCCACATAGCTGTTAAACTGCATAATGGACATGGTAGAAAAAACAAGGCGATCTCTCACCGTGCTAAGGCGGTGTCAAGAAGCAGACCGGGAAGAATTGAATTACTGGATCCGGCGATACAGTGACGCCGAGGACTTAAAAAAAGGTGGCGGCAGTAGCAGCAGCCACTCCAGGCAGCAGAGTCCCGTCAACCCAGACCCAGTTGCACTAGGTAACTTTTCTTCAGATGAGTATCTCGAACACATATTTCTTATGTTGTCAATGCTGAATTTATTTTTAACTTCTTTTTAAAATTAAAGGATCTGCAAGGAATTTTAAGACAATAAACAATTTACATATCCTCCAATATGTCTTGTCTGTCTGTTAGGAATTTGAGCAGATTGGCATAGACAGAGATAGCCACAAACTTAAATTCCATTTCCAGGTGAATGTATTGAGCTGATGGCAGAGTTTCAACACTGAACCAGAATTTCATGTGCGTAACTAAGATTTGTGTTCCTTTATAATGCCTCAAAACAGCAAAAATCATTTCAGGGAGTGGGCCCGGGGCTTAGGCACTTCTAACAAGGTCTCCAATGAATTCTGCCACTGCATACCAAACACTGCACACAGGGATTTATGTTTCAAATTATTAATTCTGAAAACAGCCTGTAAGACAATCTTGTTTGTTAGTTGAATCTCATATTTAAAAAAAAAAACAGCAACTTTTTCTCCAAACCCCTCCAGGAAGACAGACCTAAAAGCTATATATTTTGCCTACAGCTATTTTATAATTAATGATAATGTAGCACTCTTCCTGTGATTTGATCTTAACTTAGATTACTTAATCATGATTGTATTAATTCTGGTTTTATAATAGGACTCATAATGTAGTTGTGCCTTAGTAATGGAATGTTAGTATGTAACTATATTTCTTATTGATATTTGGGAATTGTTGAGGTTATAGATAGAATATAATCCCAAATATGTTGAAAGAAATCTTCAACCTGAAAGAATTTTTCTGTGGCCTGTGAACTGTTACCTAAATTAATAATAAGGTTTTGTTGTTGACATTGCCACCCATTATGTGTGAATACCTTTTGAGTAAGCTTAGGGAGATGGATTTGTGTGGATCCTTGTGTCTCTCCTATTCTCTTATGTGTTTAGCCCCATACCCATCTGCTAACTCAGGCTAAAGTACTGTCCGTGCTGCAAAGTCTGTGCAGATTAAGCTCATAAGTTTGGCCCCATTAGTACTATGGCTGATTATCAAAAGTTAAAAACTTCAAGTATATTATCTGGCTGTTGATCACATTGTTGTTTTAAATTGGTCCCAGCCAGTGCAGTTTCCTACACACTTAGGTTTGTAGATTTCTGCTAATCTCTCAATGCTGAATGCGTATATCGTAAGCATTAAATAATGGAGGAGTCTAAGGCACTTAGTTTACTTAACAAGCATTATTCTAAAGCATATTTTAAAGACAAAATTGAATTTGTCAGGTCACATTATGGCAAGCAATGAAAACAGAATTATGTTTGGTTTGAGCCAGTATTGGTCAAAGCCAAACTATTTAGAGCAAAGTAGAAAAAAAATCTAGTGTTTATTTCCTTATTGTGAACAAAAATTGATTAATCATGAGAGATTTGCTTAGGACAGAGGGGATATTTATAACCATCCAGTCTAGGCAATAATTGAGAGCCTTAAAGTAAATAAAACTTTGGGAGTTAAAACATGTAGTTTGACTTATTCTATTGAACACATTCATTGAATCAGTACTTATTTATCGAACACTACTATGTGCCAGGCGTGTGCTAGGCATTCTAATGAAGTAAAACAAGTCTTTGTTTCTTTCTTTGAGGGCCTTTCGATCTAGTGGGAGAAGGCAAGGGAATAGCTAGTCTTCAGGCCACAGGATATCTACCTCAATTCAGTCAGCCAAACTGACCAGATTGCTATTATCAGCCATCCATTGTAAAAGAAGCATCTCCAGAATTGATCAGACTTCATACCTAAGTGAGTTGCCAGCACATTGAACAAGGACCATTTAGTGTATAGTCACTACTACAACACACCGATTCTGATGATACAGGTGTATATCATGTTCTCTAGGAAGAGACATTCATTGTTCCTGTTATATCACCAAAAGAATAAACTTGGTTTTAAAAACCTCCTTTTTAAAAGTATACAAACTATACTATTTTTAGTGATGTTAATGAATTTTTATTTTTGTTAAACCTGAGGTTTTTTTTTTTTTTTTTTTTGGCTTTAAGCTAGAGGTTGAATTAGTCAAAGGCTATAAGCATGAAATTTCCTTGTTTATAGACAACATTAAAATATGATGTTCTTTATGGACACAGAATCCTAAATTGCCATTAAGACACTATCATAACTAGAGAAAACCTGTGTAGAACTCTGCAGTGTGCAAGTTTTAGCATTCCATAGTGTTTTCACAGTGCACCCTTACTAGCGGATTCTTGCAGCCTTGTATTCTATTTTCTGGGACTGAGCTATGGCTGTAAATAAGAGGACAGGTGGTTCGTAATTATGACTCACAATCATTTACATTAAGTGCTTTCTAAGTCTCTCTTCCAAGCTTTGGAGTTCAATGGATTGATGTGTGTAATGAAAGGATTGGAGAAGATTGGCTGATAAATCTATTTTCTGTGGCTGGAAAGTGTTTAATGGAGTGCATGTGCGCAGATAAAGCTATGGATATGTCTATATCTTTATTTACATGTAGATCTCCGTATTCCACAGTTTTATTGCATGTGTTTCTTTTAGTCTAATTCTTTTGCCTCTTCAACTACTGTCTGGTCTCAAATGAGACTTTCAGAATATATTACAGAAGATATCCTTGGTTCAAAATGTTGCCCTACTTATGTCCCTAACTTGGAAACACTGGGAATGTTTAGTCATGCACACATTCTTAGCAGTTTAAAATTATATTTGGGGACTGCAGAGAGGATAATGTAACTTTCATGACTGATGTGTTGTACTTGTTAAACTCAATCCCATTCTCACTTTTGAAATATATTCATAGTATTAAGTGAGTTTAGGGGATTAGTAAAATAACTTGATTAATCTATTACAAATTGAATTTTAGTTTTCCCAAGATACTAAAATCTCTATTTTGAATAACCTCTGAAACAATTTTAAACACTGAATACAGACTGAATTCATAATGGTATTTCTGTTCTTTAAATAAAATGAAAATTGACCTATTGAAGGACTTTTCATAAAATACATTTTCTTGAAATAATAAATATTTGTTATTTCTACTGTTGTTACTCATTTTCTTTCAAGGGAAAACTCCAAATAGCCAACTTTTAATAAAATTAGAAAGCAAAATTTAAAACTGCTGTCTCTTTTCAAAGTATGACTTATTTATACATTTAAGTTTTATTACCTTGTATACTACATGGAAGAGCAAGATGATGTGATCAGAATTGGCAGATTTGACCACTGAAGTCTAATTGCTTTTATATTATATGTGTAGATAGGCGGTTGCTGGTTAGCACTTCCTATGTTTTCTGAAGTGTTTATCAGAATCTCCATAGTAGCTCTTTTTTCTTTCTTTGTCTTTGGTTGCCTTCTCTCTCAGAATGTTGTCACATCACTCTCTTGCCTCCTGACATTTTATTTCTTTTAAATTACTTCCATTTTAACTGCCTTTCAACTATTCTAGACTCTTTCTGTAGTTTATCTTGTATCTGTGTATGCTCTCTTTGTTTTCTAGAAGTCTTCCACATCGTTAGAGAGTTAAATAATAATAATAATAATAATAATAATATTTTTTAGAAAGAGTCTCATTTTGTTACCTAGGCTGGAGTGTGGTGGCATAATCTCAACTCACTACAGCCTTGACCTCCTGGGCTCCCACCTCAGCCTCCTAAGTAGCTGGGACCACAGGTGCCCGCTACCATGCCCAGCTATTTTTTTTTTTTTTTTTTGTATTTTTTGTAGGGATAGGATTTTGGCACATTGCCCAGGCTGGTTTTGAACTCCTGAGCTCAAGTGATCTGCCTACCCTGGCCTCCCAAAATGCTAGGATTACAGGCGTGAGCCACTGTGCCTGGCCAAAATTTTTTTCTAATATAGCAGTAGGTTTAGGGCTAATGTCAGGGACTGAGACATAAACTCTGAAATATAAATGCATTTTCCTGTGCTTTAAAAAAATGTATGAATATTGTGATGACAAGGTAGTAAATTTAGAAAATATTTCACTGTGTTAAGGGTTTAGTACTGGCCAGAGAACTATTAAAAATTTTGTTTGTTTGTCTTAAGTGTAATGAAAATCAAGCTTAGCATTCATAAAAAGCTTAGCAATTCAGGAGTCTGTTGAATTAATACCATCCTCTGTCCCAAGTATGTTGGTAGAGGAATTAATATTTTAAAATTCTGCTAGCTGGCAAGTTTTATGATTGTCATATGATTGAATAATGGGATTTCTCATTGCTCTCTAAATCCTCAGGAAATCTAGCATAAAGGTTGAAAGCATAAACTCAGTAGAATTGCTAGATTAGAATTACTCATTCCTCTCCATATTAATTTTGCGGCCTTTGGCAGGTCGTAACCTCTCTCTGTCTTTTTTTTTTAATTTAATTTAATTTTTTGAGATGGAGTCTTGCTCTGTCACCTAGGCTGGAGTGCAGTGGCGCAATCTCGGCTTGCTGCAGCATCCGCCTACGAGGATCAAGCAATTCTCCTGCCTCAGCCTCCTGAATAGCTGGGATTACAGGCATGCGCCACCACGCCCAGCTAATTTTTGTATTTTTGGTAGAGACTGGACTTCACCATGTTGGTCAGGCTGGTCTTGAACTCCTGACCTCGTGATCTGCCTGCCTCCACCTCCCAAAGTACTAGGATTACAGGCGTGAACCGCTGCGCCCAGCCTGGCAGGTCATAATCTCTTCATGCTTCAGTTTCCTCATGTGTAAAATGGGGATGGTAATACATATTTCATAGGCATTCTGTATTAAGTTAATAGGTTAAAAAACAAAACAAAACAAAAAAAAACATATGGGACAGTGCTTGACACTTAGTAGACGTGTTAT